GATGCTTTAGCCAGTAGAATAGTTCCTTCCGGAGATAATTCTTTATTGGAAATAACTCGAGATGCAATTTGTTCGGATGATATAGAGATCTTTTGCTGCTAAAGATTGAATGTTTTCCCTTAACATTATTTGAGAGCATTGGTGGGGCAAACCTTTTTCTAAAGGGCTGAGGCATTTGTTGCAACGCACCTTTGATTTTTTCTCAATAGTGGTTTGTCTTATAAGAGGATGTTTTTCTTACAGCTTTGAACGACCAGTTCGGCATATTAGGCAACAACACATCGTGCCTCTTGTTTCAGGTCTCACTTGTATTGACTTATAATCAAACAAAGGAGGGAGAACAACTTCTTTTCCCTCTTGTATCCTGCGCAAAGTAATTCTACACGATTTGCAGAATCCTTTTGGTACCCGAGTATCACTGATATTGATCTTGGTCTTGTACAGTTGGCATATTCGATCTGCTTGAAAAGTAGTAAGCTGTCTTAAACATTTTTTAAGACAGAGCGAGCACACAAACTTTTGATTTTCATCATGATTCTTTGCTTGATTTGGCATCTTGGCAATTCACTAAATTTGACTTCACTAAATCAAACTCTGCCTTTTACAAAATTTGACCTAAATTTATATTTGATAACAATCCACTTAACATAGTAACACATATTATTAATTAAAAAATATTAAAATAAAGGAAATATTTACTTGATTTAATTGAGGTAATGTTAAATTACACGGAAATAATTCTTGAATAGTTACCAGGAAATAATTCGTGAATTTCCTTACCAGGAAACAATTGTTTAAACTATTTACTTGTAAGCAAATTACATTATTGATAATTGTCACACTTATTAAACTAATGATACTTGTCACACGGGTTGTTTTATTTCAAATCAACCCTTTAACCTAGTTAGTTATTCAGTTAGAGTAATTTTCCTCCGACTGGCCCTCCAAACTTTGTATTAATAACTTTGATCAGATATCTTTGTTAACTTATCTATATTTTTTAAGTCAATTATCTTTGTCAATATAAAAAATATTTAATTTTTTTATAGCTGTACTGTTTTCAGACAAATAAGTATTTTTATTTTCTATGTAGGTATCCCTAGAAATCCTTCTTAACCATTTTTTTAGAATTTTTTTGCATTCTGGCAGTAGTTTATACCTTATGAAATGTTGGTATATTCACGCTATGCATACATGGCCGTCACTTTTTTTTTGCGAGGACCTTTTATTTAGAAATATAGGCAATTATTTTGGAAATTGTGGATTTTATTTTAGAGATTGAGGGGTTGACCCTCTCCACTTTGAAGGCCGTGTCAACGCCAATGGCATAAGCCGATTCAAAAGGCGCACTATAAAGTCAAAATTTGACTTAATTTAAACATTCAAATTAAATTATTTTCCGCGGACAAAATTAAATGATTTTAAGATTTACATCACAGGGTACCTTGATGTGTACACTAACTTTCCGTATAAGTGGCGTTCTTGGGACAGCTAGGTAGGCATTATAAGGATCCGTGCTAACCGTGATATAATTGTACATTTAGTTATAATAATTATGTTATTATTATAACTAAATGCACAAATATATCACGGTTATATGTTTATAACATATCACAAATATATTATGTTATACATTGTAATTTTCCTTCAACCCTTCTCTAGATGAATATTTCCATTGTTGTAAATATTTTAAAACTTGCAAGGAAAAGTTTGTAAACTTTATCTTTTTTTTTTAACTTGAAAAATTTTTGGCATTTAATTAAGCCTCGTGGTGCATTAAAACTGCATGGTTGAAAAACTCGATTGTAATTTTACAAAAAATTACAATCTGAACTTTAATGAATTTTTTTTTTTTTTTCGTTAGTGTTAATTTAAGTCAGTTCTATGGCGAAGTACTTAGAGCTTACCGGACTCGTCATTAATATCTTATTATATGTAATGTATACAATATCTATAAAACTTCAAAAGTCTTATATTTTGCATTTTAAAAAAATAGAAAAATAAAAAAATAGAAAAAGTCTTAGTGGTAGGATTCTAACCATGACTATTTACTTCTGAAATTCAGGGAGCTAACCACTTGGCCACACAGGCGTGTTTTTTGAAAAAGATTTTAAAACTAATTAACAAACAGAAGACTTAAAATAAAACGGAAATAAATGTTATAGATTAAAATAATGAAAATGTTGCTGCAGTTTTCATGTGAAAGTCAAACTGTAAAACTTGAAATATGAAACATTTTTAACATTACATAGTTTACATAAATTAGATATTTGCATACACTTCGTTCACACTTTCTAATAAAAAAAAATGCTGCGACTCTTTTTCGCTATTAACTCAGTTGCAATGGCTGCCAAAAGTATATAAAGATTGGTTAATATAATGACATTATGACAATAGGTTACAATTTTAATAGCTATTTGATATAATTGACATCATGACAATGGGTTGCATTTTTAATATTTAATATATACTAATTTATGTTTATATGAAGCTATTGGAATACAATCTCATCATCCTACGATATGAAATTTTTTCACTAAACCAGATCAAGATTTCAAAATTTTGTAATTTACTCAGTGTCGGGTTTTTAAAAGATTTAAGGATATAATTTTAAGCTGCCAGTGCAATTTACAACTTATTCTCATCCTTTTAAGTTAACCAAAATTTGAGGATGGAGATTTTAATTTAAAAGCAATCAAACTCGTAATGCAGAAAGAATTGTCAGGTGAAGTACTTAGTAAAATAAATCTCAAAAGTATTTATGAAACCTGCAAATATCTGCAATCTAACAAACTCATTGAAAATCAGCATAGTACAACTTTGTTGTATATTGTTGCATTGTTGTATATTGTTGTATTGTTGTATATTGTTGTATATTGTTGTATTCTTGTATATTGTTGTATTGTTGCATATTGTTGTATATTGTTGTATATTGTTGTATTGTTGTATATTTTTGTAATATCAAAACTTGTCAAACACCAAACTTGTCAAGATTGCTTAAATTACACAGATAAACAAAAAAAATTTTTGTGCTAAGCAAAAAATTTGTTTTTTGTATAGCTATTCTCATTGTGATTTCAAATATGCAACTCATTTTTTACCATCACATCAAGTTGTAAAGATATTTGGTTTCAAATCTTTAATATTCACGGTAAAATCCCTAATATTGTCAAAAATAAAATTATTCAAAAGTATGTCAACCTGGGTCTCAAATGAAGCGTATTTTTATAAAGATTTTAAAAGTAATATTTATTTAAAATAAAATTTTATACTTTTTGTATTATTGCTGAAAAACATCCCTACAGGCAATTGTTTTTAAAAGTTACGTTCTAAATGTCTTTTAAACGTTTTTTAAACGTCTTATAAAAGTTCTTTACGGAAGAACGTTTAGAAAACGTTTAAAAGACATTTAAAATACATTTAGAAGGTAACTTTTAAAAACAAATGCCCGCTTCGATTGTGTTAATATTTTTTTAAGAGTCTTTCGCATTTTTTCACATAACTTTTTCGTAAATGAATTTTAAGAAGAAATATTAATGTTTTTAAAAATCTTTATGAAAATACGCTTCTTTTGAGACCCAGGTTGACATATTTGAAATCGAAATGAGATATGCTATACAAAAATCAAGTTGTTTGCTCGGCCCTAGAAAAAAATTTGTTTTTGTTGACCTGTGTTATATTTTGAAAATTATATGGCTTCGGGAAGTTATTTTAGCTATGCCATTGAAACAATTGATTTTGAAAAAACTCAATTGAAATAATGTTACTTATTTTTCATAATACCAATACTATTTAAAATATTTACTTTTAAACGAACCTTTAAACATTTCTTTAATGTCATCTTATTTTTAAAGATTTTGGTTTTTATTTTTTAGTACTCATAGAATTAACATTTCAAGGGAATTAAAAACGGTACACTGTCAATATTTTTTAAAATTCGAATTTGATTTATAATATAAACAAACCCATTCTTTAAAGGTATATGTTGGTGCCGGTTTTATGATTTATCTTGTGCACTTAATTTTCATTAGTCTATGATGTAGCCATAACCTTTTTTGGTATTTATATTGTTTTGATTGAGAGTAAATTTCAAAAAAAGTTATAAAATTTTTTTTAGTTTACCGTGAGAATATTGGATTAACCGTGAGACTGTGAGATTCGTTATCAAACCCCGAGTCTCACGGTAAAACCTGGAGAGTTACTTCCATGGTATAAGCGAAACATGTTATCAAAAGACAAAATAAATACATATTGTGTACTTGAACATGAAATTTTATTGCAATAATTTTAAATAATATTTTATTGCAATTTAATTATTTAATTTATAATAGAAAAATCCCGAGATCGGAAATTTTTAAAGTTTTGGAAACTCTCCTCCTAATATTTATATATGCACCACTTAATTTAAGACCAATTGAAATGAGACAGTTACATTCTATGTTTATACTAAAACAAAATAGTTTAACGCGGGTTCATGTTGATAAAATTTAAAATGCGTGAGCACTTTTTCATTTATAGATTTAATTATTATGGTTGTTAAAAAATAAAAAACTTAAAATCGTAAAGAAAAAGCTTCAAAAATACAATCCTTGAAATTTAAAATGAACCACATCTTTGGTTGATGATAAAAATCTATAAATTCGGAGGAAAGAGTATTCCGTGGAAATTAAAAACTACCGTAATTAGTTGAGAACTCCTCGAATTATTTGGTACTTCATATTCGATTTTGGAAGATCATATTTGGTTGTTCAACAGCCGAATAACTATTTTCATATGTTAAAAGAATATTTTTAATGTAATTGCTTCCTCAAATAATTGTTTAAAAATGTAAAAATCACCTCCAAAAAAACGTTAAACATCGCGTAAATCTACAATATAGCTCGTAAGTAAATTTTTTGTTAATATTAATTATTTATTTTGTATTCATAAAATGTGATTGAGTTAAGGTTTTTTTAAGATTCTGTTATTTATGTTTTTGTTGAAACATAGCTTTTACTATTAACTATTAAAATGGATCATCCCACCTCTGATCCACCAGATATTCATAAATTAATTTTACTCAAGAAAGACGAGTTGTTTGTATATGTTAACTGCCTATAAACTATAGTTCATTATTATTTTGGTTAAAATTAAAAATGTTTTAAATGGAAAGATCATCCTCTTTCATAAGGAATTTAGAGGAAGTTAAAGGAAAATGGGATCTTTTAGAAATTATTGGCGAAGGAACATACGGAGAGGTCAGCTTAAAAACTTGAATCTAATATCTAATTATTAAAAAATAAAATTAAATATTTTAGTATATATAAAATTAAATATTTTAGTAAATAAAATTAAATATTGTAGTAAGTTGAATCTAAAATCTAATAATCTATTTTTGTAACAAAGTTTTAAGTTAAAAAATTGAAATTAATTAATTTAGTAATTTAACTTATTGGTCAATGATCTTTTTTTATTAACTATAACCAGAACATGATATAATTTTACCTAAACTTTTTTTTATGTGGTCTAGCTGTTGTATGTAACTCTAACAAATAGACCTTATAAACAAGCTAAAGCTTTAATAGCTTCAGGTATTAGTTTGTAAGTCACATTTTAAAATAGCTTTATTTTATTTTATAAATAAAATTAAATTACTTTTAAAATTGTTGTTGAGCTTATAATATTCAACTGCATAAAAGAGTTTAGAGAATTAGTTTGTAAAAAAAACCCTTAATATTTTCTATGTATAAGTAGCAGAGTATGTGTTATAAAAGATAGGTATATAAATATATTTTCAGTGGCAAAATTAATTATTTTTGCAATTCCAATTTTAGTATTAGATTGATCTCTTTTATTTATTGTTATTATTACTGCTTATTAAATAAATCATTAGCTTATCTTTTTTTATTTATCTATAGTTAATAATTATTCCTCCCTATATATATATACAGTTTTCCAGTGAAAATAAATGATTGATTTTAACATAAAGCAATATTTTTATTTCAAAATAGTAAATAAAATAAGTTTTTTGTAAGTAAAATATTTATAAAAGTTGTAAATGATATATTTTTATTAAGTTTATTAATTTACTTTTACTAATTTAAAAATTGCTAAAAATAATATACTTGTTTTCTAACTGAAGTTAGCGCTAAGATGTTGGTTAACGTGCAATTTTATTTTGTTTTAACTATTAATCTAGGCTTTAAGTTACAATGAGCAGCACATGATAAAACTAAAATATCTGTATTATGTAATTTTGTTATCTTTTTTTGTCAAGTTATAGAGGTTATTTAGTTAGGTTCACTTCTCTAGGTTTCCATGTTAGGAAAAGTTAAATTTAGCTTAAAATAATCCTTGTCTTTGAGACTTTTTATTAAGTTAAGGCTAGTGATGGTGTTTAACTCAAAATAAATATTCTAGGCAGATGTTAACTGCATTCAGCTACTGTCTTATAAAAAGCCTACTTGGTAAAGACTTTCAAAAGGTTAACAGAAAATTTTAGTTGATCAGCCATGAGACTTTTCATCTAATATGTTAACATAGGTGCAAATCGATGTTACATTGTTTTCTGCATAGGAGTTTTAATTTAAATTTTGGGTCTTCTTGGCTATACTCATGGGTTTTTGCTTGTGCTTTCTTAGTAGTGGTTATGCAGCTCTTTTTGTTGCGTTGCCAATACCAAGGAGGTAGTGGCTACAAAACAAGCATTAATCTCTAAGACTCAGTTTAATGGTTCTAATATCAGTTGGTAGTAAAGTTTCCGAAACTGTGGTAGCTCTCAGAGGTCTTACATATTTTGTCGACAAATTTACTATAACTGAATATTAACTGTTGTGTTGCACATGGATGGTTTCCATGTTAATACTTTAGGTACATATTGTTGAGGCCGCAGATATAATTTCAAAATCAACCAAACAGTGCTGTACCTAGTGAGTGTACTTGTAAAAATTCCCCCCTTCCTAACAACAAATTTTTTTTTTTTTTTTTTTATTAATAATAATGTAATTGAAAAGCCCTGTGTATAAATTTCAAAAGCCTTTTTATTTTTTACATTATAGTGACAAGATGAGTTTTAATTGTCTAAAATATGTATTTTAGGCATCTTTAACACATCTTGCGTTGCATCCTAAACATAGGACTTGTTAAAAATTTGTTAAGTTACACTAGTGGAGCAATTTGAATATTTTATAAAATTACGTTTGTCTGTGTTTCAAATCAACTTTTTTTTTTAATGAGTTTTTGATGCTCATCTAGAAATCAAAATTTTGTCAACTTAAAAAATGCAGCATAAAATGCTGGTTTTGAAAATATTAGAGATGCCAAAAATATTTGGCATTTTAATAAAAAAGGCAACTGTTTAATTATCTTTCCCATTAAAGTGAAACCATGCTTGAAGTTCAGGTTGTTGTGAAAATATCATTTTTAATAAGTTTAGAGTTCTTTGTGCTAATTTAATCTAAAGCATTATCTGAAAGTACCTCAGCAGTGCAAGATATACCTGAGCAGGTTTTGAACTTTTCTGAATGGTTTGAAGAGTATGAAACCTTTATGCATAACTATAGTTAAAATGGTATAACAGTCTACAAGTAATGTGTGCTGTGACACAACCTATTCATAAATGCCCACAGTGTAGTTGACTTATGCATTACATTGAAACAGGTTGGAACCTTCAAAATAATAAAGTGTTGTTAAATATTGGCATTATTAGAAAATATTAATTTTATTTTATATAAAATTTTTGTTATAAAAAAAGTCGCAAAAATGTACCTATTTTAACTATTGCTTTTTTGCAAATTATGTATAAAAAAAAGGAATTTAAGCAAAGAAAAAATTAAATTTTTTATTGTTTTGAGAAAATATAAAATAATTTTATTGTTTTAATTAAATGAAATAAATAATATTTTCAAAATCAGCATTTTTCAAAATCAGCAATCATAGTTTTGGTATCTAACATTTTTATTAACATTAGAACCCATCAAAATTTTTAAATCAAGTGAAACCTCAAGAACTCATCTAAATCCAATAATATTTTCTTTACTTTCCTGTTTCAACTAATACTAATATATAACATATTAAATTAAAGATACTAATAATAACGTTATATAAGTTTGCATTCAGTATTATCAGTGCTGTGGCTTGTGGGTTAAATACATTCAGTATTATCAGTGCTGTGGCTTGTGGGCTTGTGTGGCCAGCCTTCAAAAAAAAAAGTTAAATTAAAAAAATAACAATAATATAACATCATTTGCATCTCAGAAACTCAGGAATGTTCATTTTTTGATTAAGTAATATTTGCTTTATAACTAAGAGATGTTTATTTTTTTAACTTTAAGTTAATTAAATTTTTTATAATTGAAAATACTTTAAATAAATAATATTTTAAAAAATAAAAATTTAGCTTTTACTTTGAAGGAATGTAAAATGGTTTTTTTGATACTTTTAAGTAATAGTTATTTCCTTTCCATTTGCAAACTAATTCATTATGGAGAAGTATTAAAGTTTAGCGAAAGTCAAAATTAGATTTAAAAGCAACCATAAAATCTCATTTTTTGTTTTGAGAAAGGAGAAGTGTTTTTGTTTAAATAAATTTTTTTTCACTTAAGGAATTAAAAGTTTTTGGTTTTAGTTCAAAATTATATTAGGTTTTTTTTATTTTAAATTACTTCTTTTTATGGAGACATTCAAAACATCTATATAACTTATTTATTAGTAATATATATTCGAAAATATAAAACAAAAACATTAAAACCTTTATCTGATGCAAAAAAAAACTTACCTTCTTTAATGATTTGAGGATAGTTTTGATACCATAAATACCTTGGATAAGTCTGATACTTAAAAAATATATTGGAACTTTGATTACAGTGCTGTTTTTATATCTAGTTCTAATTTTGAAACAATATTAACAAGTTTGTTGAAGCATAGGAATACAAAAAAATTTGTATTCCCATGTTTCAACAAACCAGGTGTTTAAAAACTAACTTGTAGTTGCAGTAAATCATATGTAGGTAAAACTGGTTTTAAAATGTCCACATAGTTTTTACAAAACCAAAAACTAATTCATGACAGGAAATGGAATAGCTCTGGTGTATTAAACCATAAAAAATTTTGTCAGGGAAATATTTACTGAACTGACACCAAATGTTTCATTGAGCTCTAATACATTTAAAAGGAAAATTAGGGAAGCTTCGGAGATGTCTAAGATGTCTAAACACAGGTTTCTGGAAACCAATTATGTGTTTTATTCAGAATAAAAAAATGATGTTCAATATAATGTTTTCTTTAACTAGTTTTTTAAATGCTTTTTTTAAAAATAAATAGTTTTATAATCTGATGATGAGACTATCTAGTGGTCTCGAAATATTACTAATAAATAAATAATATAGTTGTTTTGAATATCTCCGTAAAAAGAAGTAGTTTAAAATAAATAATTTAGTATGCATTTATTCAATATGTTTTCAAAACAATACATTAAGTTTGTATGACATATATATATATATATATATATATATATATATATATATATATATATATATATATATATATATATATATATATATATATATATATATATATATATATATATATATATATATAGGGCCTATTCTAGGAAAAAAATTTAAGCGGTGGTACCCCCTTGTTCCAAATAACAAATTTATATTTCTTTAGTAACTTTTATTTTAGTTATTTTTAAAAAGATTTCAATGCAGTTTAAAATTAAATTTAATTTCAATGCGAAAGTTTAAAATACACTGACGATGTAATTTAACTTTTAAATATATAAAAATTGTTACTTAAATTCACGAAATATAATCCTACACCTATATATAAAATAAGTTAGCAACATTATAAATACAGTTATTAAGTGTAATGTATGGCTAACGAAAATAACAATTTTTTATGTATTTCTTTGCTTTCATTTAATGTTTAATTTTAGTAATATTGGTATTTATAATTTATGGAATTTTTAGTTTGGGCGCATTAGTTTGGGTGCCCATATTGGTCAAACGGTATGGGATTACACCTGGGTACAACACTGCCTGACATACTAGCTGTTTTTAATGTTAAACTCAACTATTTTATGATGGGTATTATCCCTTGCTTCACGAAGACACCAATATCATTATGCTTGGTCTTTGTAGCTTGGTCATTGTTATTGAGGTTATCAATATCTTGTTTAAAATCAATTTAACTCTAAAATTCTCGAAATAGTCATGTGCAAATACCCATTATCAGGGTATGCTAAAGTTTCTTGTGATTATTTTGACTGACTTTTCCAGTTTATTGCAAACCCAAAAAACAAAAAACCAACTATTTATGTATGCAAGTTTGGAAAAGTGTGATGTGCTCATTTTGTGCATAGCTAAAAGCTCATCTCTATGTGTTATATTTTCAAAAGCTTATTATTGTATGATGTGATATTTGAACAAAATATTATTTTTATTAAAATCTAAGAAAAGTTGTTATTACTTCTTGATACCCTTAGATGTCAATTAATAATTTTAGTTCATGTGCTAAGAGTTTTTTTTTTTTTTTTCTTCATTTAAATTTATTTCACTTGTCTTTTTTTTTTCTTTTTTCTTATATTTTTCATATATATAAGTTAACAAGTTATTTTATCTTACACAATTTTTCTTTTCTCTATATACATTTACACAATTTTTCTTTTCTCTATATTTGTGTATCTATGTTTGTGTTAATTATTTTTAACTTATATTTTTTTTTCTATTTTTCTTTGGTATTTATTAATGATTATTATTTGATATTATTTTGGTGTCATTTTTATAAAGTATTTTCTTAACATTAGTTTAAAACAATTTTTAAATAAACTTTAATAAAGTATTATAAATATAATAAAATAAATATAGTATAATAAATATAATAAAATTTTAATAAAATAAGATATACTGATTAATGATAACAGACTTTTTTTATTATTATTATTTTGAATTTAGATTTACAAAGCTGAAAGATCATTTGTAAATATATATGGATAAACGATAACAGACTTTTTAAATATTGTTATTATTATTGTTATTATTATTATCATTTTGAATTTAGGTTTACAAAGCTGTGAGTAAGAGAGGCAACTTTGTTGCTATAAAAGTTATTGAAAATAGTGCAAACAAACATGATGAGATTCAAACAGAGTCTAGTATATTACAAAAATTTGGATCCCATAAAAATATTGTTGACTACTTTGGTACATATCTATACAATAAACCAGGATCATTATCACAAATATGGATTATTATGGAGGTCATTTATGTTATTTTTAATTCATATTTCAGGCCTTGTTTTAAATAAAAAAGTGCTTAATGCATTAGCTTAACGCGATTTTGACGTCATAAAATTATCTTTATTTTTTTTTATAGGCGTTAAGTGTTTTAACTACCGCAATAAATAAATAGCCGCAAACTAATTCAATTTAACAATTAACTCAAATATAATCTATAAACGTTTTAAATATAAATTTATTATGAAAATTTTGTAATGTTTTCAATTGTTATTTTATTATTAATTTTAGTTCAATATTATTTAGTAAAAAAATATTATATATATATATATATTAATTATTTCTGAAATTTGTTTTTGAATAATTGTTTTTAATCGTTATTGAATAAAAAATAATAATGATTTTTTTTATTTTTAAAAATTTCTAGAGTAAACAAAAAATATTAACATTGATAAACACAAACCCATGTTAATTATTTAAACAACAATTTTGTTTTGACTAGCAAAGAAAAATTTAAGTTTTTAAATATTTTTTAAATTTTTAAAAGCGTTTCAACTTGCGTTTTATAAAAATATAAAAAAGTTTTGTCTGCTTTGAAGCGTATTTTTGATACGTAGTTTAGAACGCGTTCGCTAGGAATTTAATTCATAAACTTTTTATGTTATTGTAAAAATTTTTTTAATTTTAGGAAATTAAAAAAAAAATTAAATTAAATATGAAAGTCTTAATTATGCAAACTCTTTTATTAATTATTCTTAAAACAAAAAAACAAATACTTGTACGCCAAACTTTAATCGTGCAAACTTATAAAAATACTCAACTGAAATAATTTAAGTATATTTAATAATTTGAATCGTATCTGTTTATAATAAACGTTCGTAAAAATTTGTTTATTAAAAATTAAGTTCCTTAACTTATTAACAAACTCAAAAGTATTTTCATTCTACGTATAATTACAAAACTCTTTTTTTTTTTCGTTTGTAAGCAATTTAACTTAATAAAATAAAAAAAAGAATAAATATGAGGTAATCTTTGTTAAGAATAAATTTAATTTATTTATTGAACTATATTTTTATTTTTAATTATATATCAACTTAATTAAAATATAGTAACATGTTAAAATATTTTAACATGATTTGTATTATTTATAAACCGTTGGGCAGTTGCCCTTACGGCACTATTGTTTTTGGATATAATTTTATTTTGATGAAGATCACATAACTTACATTTGATTTTAATAACGTAAGTCTTCTCTTTTTCTGTGATCATCGCATCGGCAAAGTCCCAAGATTTAAAAGTTTTTTAAGTAAATCTTTTGTCCTTCAAAATACAATCCATATTCGAACTTTAAATAATTTAGAGATAATAGAAATATACAAGGTTTTTATATACTAGTTTGTTTTGTTTTATAAAGAAAAATACATATTCATTAGTAAAAAATGGAGACTTTCATTAAACTAAATCGTGCCTTAGTATTTATTTAACGGAACCTGTAATGTGCGCGTGCATAATAAAACCTCCGTTATATAAATATATTCAACGTAATATTAGTGTCATCAGCGGATGTTGTAGTCTACTCATGATTTCTTTACCTTATATTATAACTTGATTTATGACAAAAAAAACTTATTGAATCGCACGCAGAAGAATTTTAACAAATTGTCTTCATTCAAATATTGCGAGTAACAGGTAATTTTTTTTTCTGTGCCGACCCCCTCCCCCCGCCTAACATAAACTATATACTAATAAACTAATAAGAAAAGCTATATACTATTAAACTAACTATAAGCTATAAACTATTAAACTAATAAGAAAAGCAAAGACATTTTTTTTAACATCTCGAAAAAATGTCTTGATATTTTTGTTATCATGATAACAAAAATATTAAGACATTTTTTGAGATTTTGTTTAAAAAAATGTCAATTCTTAATTACAAATTTTTTTGCAAATGTTTTTTATTATAAATTCAGTAAAAAATTCATAAAAAATCTATATTACAAAAAACTTTTATATTCTGTATTAATAAATATGGAATATAGATTTTTTAAAAGTTTTTTACTAAAAACTTTACTACTTTTTATTAAAAACATTCCAAAAAATTTGTAGTTAAGGATTGACAAACAATTTTTCATGTTGCTAAATATTTAGATAAAAAGTTTAGCGTCAAATTAGTTGCTATAAAAAGAAAAGATATATCGCGATGAAAAGTTACAACAATTAATTTTAAAGTAAATTCTTTTTTTTAATAAATACCTTTACATATCGTTATTTAAAAGTTAATGTGGTTTTTTTGAAAATTAGTTACTTCTTTTATGTTACCGCTAATTTAAAAGTTAAAAAATGATAAAAAGTAGCTTAACCAAAACAGCTCTACGCGTACGTAAAAAGCGCTTAAGGCGTACGTAAATCGCTCTAGGCGTAACGCTTTAAAACAAGGCCTGATATTTAACTTAAATTATTGCTAATTTTTATTTAAATATATATTTTATTAGTTTGCAATATATAATTTCCAAAATAAAATTCTATATATTATTTTAATAATAATATAATAATATATAATAAATTATTTATTCAACTATGAACAGTTTGTATTTTATCTGCACTTTGTTAATTTGTTTTATTTTTCTCTAAATCTTTTTATTTATTTTCTCCTAAGTTTTGCCAAAAATTGAAAATAAATGAATATTAATTTATAGATAAATTAAAAATGACTAATTTTTTTTTTATAATAGTAAAAAAGTATATATTTATATTTATTAAATATCTCTTTTTATGTCAATTTAAAAAATTTATACTAGTATTTCATTAAACAAAGTGTTTAATGTTTTAAAATTTTCTTTTTAAAACTTGTTTCATTAAATAAATTGTTTAATACTAAGAAGACAAATGTTTAAAACAACCATCTTCTTAGTATTAAATATTAATTTAAATAGTATCAGGGACATTATTATTAACTATTTAACATAAGCAGTTTTTGAAATGATTAATGAGCAAGAGATATAAATTGTGCGAAAGTTTTTCTTCTTTAACTTCAGAGATTTGTTTCATTATCATTCGAAATTATTGTATATAATTAAGAACATTATCTCTACTGTACTTTTTTTTTTATCCAATCTTTTCTATTATTTTTCTCCCAGCTTCTCCCACCATTTGCAAAGTCATTTCAATGAAATGAGTTATTTTTAAATAAATTAAAAATTATCAATTGTCTGTTTGCCCTTTTAAAAAAAGTACTGATTTTGTTTAAAGTTGTTATAATAGAATATTAAGAATTCTTTACCCTTCAAGCATTAACTTATTTTTGTATTTATGAAGATTAGAAGAACTATTGAAAGATTATGAAGATTAGAAGAACTTCTGCTAAGATTTAAACAAACAAAAAAAAAATATTGACCTTCGAAAAATAAAATAACCGTCAATTCGTTGAGTTGGCCAGTCAAATTGACTGCTCACCTTCGATTTCTTATTTTCCACGCTGCCAACTCACATTCAATTTTATGCATGATATGTGATATCAAAACTAAAAAAAGTTGCCAATTTATCCATTGTCAAACTGATTTTATCTTATTTTTATATGTCAAAAATTATTATTTAAAAAGAACAACATAACATACAAGCAAAAGGTTTGTAAGTTATGAAGTTTGCTACTTAATTACAGCAGAGTCAATATCATCAAAAACAAGAAAAAGGAGCAGATCAAAGCTTTTAGAATATATAGGTCCGGAACAGATTTTCATGTATCCGAGTTTCTAACTCTAAGAGATCTTCTTAGATATGATCTTTTTTTACAAAAAAGAAACAAAAACAAAAAAAATCATCTGATTAAATACTTAATGAATTATGTTTACTCAAAGTTGATTGGTAAATGGATCTATGCTAATGCTTTATTTTTATATCCTGTAACACATATCAAACATTATATTACTGTGAGAATTTTTCTTAATGAATATTCTTAAAACAATTTATGCTAGAAATCTCAAAACGTAACAAATTGTGTTAATAAAACAATTTCTATAACATTTCAACAGAATACTCTAGAACTTTATTTTGCTTAGTCTATATTTTTTGAACCAATATAATTAGTTTGTTCGTTAATTTGGCGGGTTTTTAGTGTTCGCGAATATTCTTTTTATTCTTCTGTACCAAGATGTTTTGAGAACATTCAAGTTTATTATGTTTCCATGTATATCCGTAAAGCAAAAATTTTTTGTTACGTACATAAACTAAAATGTTCTCAAAATGACTAAAAAACCTGGCCAGTGTTTCGCAACTAAATATAATTTCCGTGGTCAATTCTGTGAGAATTTTTATTTATTTGCCACCTGAAAGCTAAGAAGCCCACTACAATCAAGGAGGTTACTTTTTTTTTTTTTTTTTTTTTTTTTTTTTTTGTAGTAACAACCCTCCCTCAACTCTATAACTCCGAAACATGAACCTCGACGAACAAGACCACTGTGCAGAGAAACAAGTTGAGCGTGGTACTATTAGGGTCATGATGAGGATTGAACTCTACTACTACACCACTGATTAGAATGCAGCCAACCTGGTTGCAAAGGTAAAAGCAAGCTTGAAGGATAAAAAAGATTTATGGCTAAACTTGATAAATTGTTTGATATACTGAATTGTAATTGCCAAATTATTACTTGTCAAGAGAAAAAATGTAACAATGAAGCCCACATTAATTCTTAAGTGCGAAAAGAAAAAAAAAATTACAAAGAAAGAATTAGTATTAATACTTGGGCAAAGAGCTAAAATACCAGTACACATCAAATCGAATTAGCAGACTTATAAGTAAACAAAAAGCTATATATAATTGGAGAAAGAAGATTGAAGAAGTAAGATTTTTTTAATTAGTTATGTTTTTAATTATTTATTAGTTAATAAATAAAATTAATTAAACTTTTATGTAAAATTAATTTTAGTTATATTGCAAATATCTGCCTGTTTCGACTCGAAATTTACAAAAACTAATTAAATTCAATATAAAAACTTTGTATTTATTATTAACATTTGTATTTTACTTATGTTAAGACGTAACAGATAAAAAAAATATATAATTAAAACTACTTGTACTTAAAGTATTTTACAAAACATTATTTAATGAAAGTTCAATTGCTTTATCTATAGTTTAAAAAAAAGCACCTGAAGAACTGCAACAAACAATTTTAAGTCAGGAGAAAAGGTTTGAATTTGAATTTAACAAAACAGAGGAACTATTTAGTAATGAATGTTGCATAACAAACAGCAAATCAATCTAATGTGTCGACAAAATGATATTCAGGAATATTTTTGAGGACAAAGGAATTGTAAAAGTATTTCCAACATAGCTTTAGTAAGCATATGGTATAGTACAGGCTTACAGGAAACAGCTGCAATTGCGACCGCAGCTTTTATGAATGCTAAAATAATTAAAGAAGACGATACCAAGTTAGTTATTGATCACAACAAATTCAAGTGAGCTCAAGAAAGAATTATGCAGTCTCTTTCTATGGAGTTTGACACTCAATGAAGAATTAGTATTATTGATTGTGTTTTTATGATGGCAGAATAGATAATACTTAAGTTCAATTATCAGTTAAAGGTTTGACTAAATACTATTCTGCAACAATCAAAGAGGAACATACAGTATGTCAAGAGCCTGGTGGTAGGATCTTTCCAATTCACACCTGAAATTATTTAAAAACATGAAACATGCTGAAGTAATAGCTCAGAATATATATGAATTTTTGAAAAATAATGGTACCAATAAAAGCTTAAAGGCGATATGTGGTGATTCTACTAGTGCAGGACTCGAATTAAGCGTATCGCAAATCGTGATTGCTTTTTATACTTTCGTGATTAGTTTTTCCTTAAATATATATTTTCGCAATTGGTTTACTTTTTTAGTTGTTTATTTACTATTTTTCTAATTTAGCTTTTTTTTTTGGCAATTCTTAAAAGTAATGTTTTTATAGTACGTCACACAAAGTTTGTCTTTTGAATAGAAGTTGATCACTTTTGAATAGAAATGATCATTTGCTCTTTCGCGCAGAGATTTTTATTCAATGTAAAGCACTTTTTAATTTAAATTACTTTTAATCTCAGAAGAAAATTAAAAAGACAAAAGTTAAAAAGAATTTTTTCTTCATTCTATTTTTTTAACAAAACGGCATTTTTATTTATTTTTTTAAAAAAAAACTTTGCTCCAAATTAACTTACTAATAATGAATTAAATTATTATTTTATAAACAACTTTATATAGTTATTTTTACTACTTTAAGTATAATAAAATTTATATTAATTCGTTTTTATTAAATAAAATTTCTATTATTAAAATTCTACTAATAGAAACCAGCAACTTTTTTGCTTTTTTTCGTTTTTAACAACCTTGAAACTGTTGAAGTTATATTTAGTTAACTTTACTGAATGGATAGAGTATATCACAGTAAATTTAACTTATAACCTAAATCAAAACAACCAGTTAAGTTAAGATAGTAACTTGCAGTTACTCAAGTATTAATTTAGCCTTAAAATTCACTTATTCAAATAATTTTGTGATTGAAATTTAAAAATTAAAAAAAAAAATTTAAATTAAAAAAAAAGTTTGATGAAACAAATAGAATGAAGATGAAAGTTTTTTTTTCGTAAATCATATATTTTGTTAATGTTTTGAATTATATTATTTTTTCTTGAAAATAGTTTTAAAAGTAGAAACATTCTATTGCAAACACCAAAGCAGTGATTGCAAATTGCAAGTTAAAATAAAATAAAAAGTTTAAATTAAATTTAATGAATTATTTTACTTTGTTCAAAAAAGAATTTTTCTGAAAAAATAATTTAAGCATATTATTATACTTAAAATAATTCGATTTATTAAACAAAATTTTTTGTTTCACTTTTTTTTGGAAAACAATTAGAATAAAAAAAAAATGAATAAAAGCATCAGTTTAAAAACCTTTTGAATAAAAAACTTAATTATACTTAAATTTTTAATAGTACGATTGATCAGGAAACGATAATTTATAAAAGACGTGGTATCTAATGTTTTTTTGCTTACTCGTTTGGTCTATAGATTATAAACTCGTATAGGTCTATAAGCGCAAATAGGAAGTTTTTTTTTAGTTAATTAACTAGCTCAATTTTATTTATTTGCTTCCTTGTTATTTTAAACACATTTTATTTTATAAACTGTATAAATCAAAAAGAAACAGCGTCACATGTTTTACACTATTCCAAGCTCTGTATATTTTTTTAACGACTTTGCAGTTTGTTTTAGTGTTGTTTTATAGCTTTTAACAATCAAATACTTTTTAAAATTAACACATGTTTTAACAGCAGCATGAACATATTAAGTTTTTTCTTTGACTAATTAAAGTGGTTTAGATATTGTAATGTTGCTTTTTCTCTTACTTTTTTACTTTTACTTTTTTAAGTATCATGTTAAGTAAAAATATACTTAAAGAAATATCTTAATAGTATTAAAAACGTTATTGCTTATTACAACTGCAACTTAAACTTTAAGTTATAACTTAAGTTGTAAATAATAACGTTATTATTTACAACTCAAGTTATAACTTAAAGTACTTACTGTTATAACAGTAACTTACGCTATTTTAAACTCTGCCAAAAAAGAAAATTATAAGATTATATTTAAATATGAGAGATATGTTAAAAATAAAACAATTACGTACAAAACTTATAATTATTTACAAACACAGCTTTCCTCTCTCTCTCTCTCTCTCTCTCTCTCTCTCTCTCTCTCTCTCTCTCTCTCTCTCTCTCTCTCCTCCCATTACTGCAAAGCGGCACAAGGTATAAGGAAGGGAGGTGTAAAAAAAATTTTTTTTTGGATTAGATTTTTTTGCATTAATTTAAGCCTAAAAGTCTTAAAAAATACAATCATCCACAATCATCTGAAAACTTTCTGATCATCAATCTGGACTTTGATCTTCTTGTCCTACTGCTGATTTGTTAACAGTAATGACTAATAGATTTTATCGTGAATTTGATAGATGTGGAGAGGCTAAGGCTATAGCTCTTGACATTTCTAAAGCCTTTGCAAAGTGTGGCATGCTAGTCTTCTCCATAAGCCATTTTATGGTGTATGAGGTACCATCTTAAGGATTATTAAATCCTTCCTTACCAATTGTATTATAAAAGTTAAGAAAGTAGATATAAAAATAACTAGCACAAATAATTCACATTTTAAAGTTCACTGTAGAGAAGCTATAACAAATATTCAAATAAAACCCAACTCAAACATCAATCCTGCAATTAATTACAGGAGTTTTTAAAGGTTTCATGCCACAATGAGATTCAGTTTATAATATATATGTTTGTAAAAATAGTCATGAAAGATCAGATCTAAAAACAATTGCTACGAATCACAAATTACAAACAATTGCCGCAAATTTTCAAGTAAAAATGATCCCAACAATAAAATTGCAAGAAAAAAAAACAGAAAATGTTGCAATGATAAAACTACCTTGGCAACCAACACTTGGACTGAAACTATGCAAAACACTAAAAATATGTCAAAGTTATTTTTACAGCACCATCTACTTTAAAAACTTACATGTTTGTGTAGGGGAATTTATATTGGGGAAACAAAACATAGAATTTTATAAAGAAACACACAATACCAAACTAATAGAATAAATAATCAATATATAATAAATAATAATAGAATGAATATAATATCAATAATAATAGAATGAATATATCT